ACAGATATAGAAATGATAAAGATAATAGAATGATAAGATAATAGAAGCATAAAGGTAAAAAGAAATGGCATAAGAGATAGAAGCATAAAAGGTAAGAGAAATGGGTAAAGATAATAGAAGCATTAAAGGTAGAGGAAAATTGCATAAAAGATAATAGAAAACATAAAGATAATAAAAATGATAAAGATCTAATAGAAATTGATAAAGATAATAGAAAATGAGAAAGATGAAATAGAAAGCATAAAGGTAAGAGAAATGCATAAAGATTACATAGAAGCCCACTAAAGTAAGAGGAAATGGTAAAGATAAAGAAGCATAAAGTAAGAGAAATGATAAAGATAATTAGAAAACATAAAGATAAAAAAATGCATAAAGATAATAGAAATGATAAAGATAAAGAAATGGGGATTAAAAAGATATAGAAATGATAAGAGATAATAGAAATGATAAGCATAATAGAAATGATAATAAGATAACAGAAGCATAAAGGTAGAGAAATGGCTAAGATAATAGAAATGATAAGATAATAGAAATGATAAGATATAGGAAACGATAAAGATAATAGAAATGATAAAAGATAATAGAAACATAAGATAATAGAAATGATAAAGATATAGCAATGCCGCATAAAGATAATTAGAAACATAAACATAATAGAAATGATAAAGATCAATTAGAAATGATAAAGATATAGAAAAATGATTAAAGATAAAGAAGTGATAAAGATAATAGAAATGATAAAGATAATAGAAATGATAAGGATAATAGAAGCATAAACTCGGAATACTTTGTTTTTTGTTTTGGTTTATTTAGAACTATACGATTACTGCTCATAATGGACACCTGCATGTGAGGCCCACTGCGTTAGCTGCGCATCCGGTCTGTACAGAAGCCATGTAACAAATACTACCCCTTACACTAATTTCTACTGTCTGGACTTACTATAGAAACTGCACACCTGGACTCAACTGTATAAAACTACACTAACCAACTCGTTAAAACACGCTGATTTTATTATCTCGAAAGGATCTATTTGATATAATACGGGGCAATAATCCTGTGTCACGTTGAGAAAAATAATCGCATTGGAATCGTGCAGGGTCGTTTGAGGGTAGTTATTGCATACAGGGCCAGTTATACAACACAAGAACCACAAACACAGGCGAAAAAAAACACAAGAGAATAGTTGACAGCTTGACAGTACACAGAGATATAGTTCGCTTCACCTACTATATTGATATCTACAATTCGCTGTGGGGTTTGCCCGCGCTGAAAGCATGCGCGGACATGAACCTGCTGAGAGCTCGGGACGGAGGGACACGGGGCGCTGTGGCGTGACAGCGGGTCCGTCCCGCCCACCACAACGCAGGAATAAGGAATGAAGATGCGCAAATAAAGGCATACAGATGCCGGTATAAGCGAAAGTGGGATAAAGAAAATGAGCCGATACGAAGCGCATGGATGGATGAGCATGGTATGGTGAATGAGAAAGGAAGCGAGCAACTCTCGCCTCCAGCGCCTGTTCCGGAGGAGGAGGAGCGGCGGCTCCCGGCTCACTTACCTTCATTGATGGAAGGCGCCGTGGCACGAGGTGGCGCACTAGGGTCCCTATATACATGAGAGGTGCCGCCATGACGAGTCGGGAAGAAAAATCCCGGTCCGTGGTTCGCTCGGACGACCATGTTGTTTCCAAATGATACGCACTGGCTATGGCCCGTAAGAAACGGTGTACAATTAAATTTACGATATGGCGGCCGATAACGAGAACTGATATGGGGCGCCTGAACATCTATGGCGCGAACGATTTGAGTTACATTTCTAGAAATCTAGATTAGCCACATAGACCACATGTGTTCTATAGCTATAATCTCTGTAGAATCTGGAGTTTATTGAAGCCAGCGATTAGTCTAAATCTAATTACTACGGGACCATTGTCACAGCGTATCCATAACATCGGCAGCGGTGAGGACGTTCATTCTGCCGAAAACAACGGGCCTGTATAACAGGGGAAATCCCTAAGTGGCGACCCCACGACCAGGCCGCCCCCTATGTGAAGATGAGCCGGCCGGGGCGGCGGCCGGTTAAGCGCATCGTCTCTAATAACACGCGGCGACATGTGTCGGTTATAGTACATGCGATCGGCGTGTAGTCAGTGGATACTCAAACACGATACAGCAGTTGGTGCGCAGCGGTTAGTTGGCCCTACGCCGAAATGCCGTAATAGCGCTTATAGGGAATGAATTCTCCGCAATGTATTACTATATTATGATATATATGTGTGCTGTGTGCGGGCGTGCGTGTCAAGCCGCCGTGCCCGACCCCCCCACGTGCGTGGCGTGCGTGCGTGCGTGTGGCGTGACCGTGCGTAGCGCGTGTGCCCGTCCGGCGCGGTACAATTAATGCTCCACCAATGATATTTCCACACTATATATAATATGTGATATATCATACAGCAGTGGCATATAGTCTATTATCCCACTCCTGACTATATAATATTATTAGTATAGCTATAGATACGCGTTGATTAACTGATTATACTTTGATATTATGAAAGATTCGGTTAGAACCTCTCGAACGATATTCCTCTCTTTCTTACTTCTAGTAATCTAGATAGTTCCCTCTCTCTAGCGATTGTGAAACATGCGTAGGGGCCCGTATCACGATCAAATTACATATGCCCAGTCAATGCATTAGCAAATTTTGTGAAATTAATTATATTGTACTTTGTAGATTTACATTTAGATATTTGATGATTGTCAGCTGAGATTGAGGCGACCCTGCGGCATGCAATCATATGGGTGTTGACTGTCAGACGGGCCAGATCGACAGGATGAGTATGTCTAGCATTTAGTAAAAGAGTACATTTTTTCAATCTGGTCACTCGTTATGATTCGTGTTTGGCTGATGAACTGTTCCCATCTCGTCACACACTGTTGATCGCATCTGCGTGTTGTGTGTATTTTTTGTTGTTGTTGTTTTTGCGCCCCGTTCGTGCGGTGTCTTACAACATATCCTCGCACATATTATAGGCAGCTGCACGTTCTGGCCATTCACTTCAAATCTTGGTGAGAAACACATACACGGAGTGAAATCTGTTTGTTTGAACAAGTAAACCTTCCGCGTTGAAAACATATGCGCCAATGATCGTTTAAAAAAAACTTTTTGCTCATTCAAATGCATATAAAAAAAATATGGCCGGTATTAAATCCAGGTTCTACATAAACAGAGTGGATCCGCGTTACGTAAAATATGCCGTATTAAAATCCAGGTGCTACATAGCAGGGGTGATCCGCGTTACCGTAAATATATAGCTGGTATTAAATCCAGGTTCTAATATAGCCAACAGTGGTTGATTCCCCGTTACGTAAAACTTGGCCTGATATAATAATTCCAGGTTTTACATAGCATGTGTGGGATCCGACGTTAACGTACAACATCGCGTATTAAATTCAGGGTGCTACATAGCCAGTTGCCTGATTCGCGTACGTAAAATATGGCGGGATTTAATTTCCAGGTTCTACAGTAGCAGTGGTTGATCCGCCTTACGGTAAAAATATGGCGGTATTTAACATTCCAGCGTTCTACATTAGCAGTGGTTGATCCGCGTTACGCTAAAATATAGCTGTATTAAATACCCTGTTCTACAGTAAACAGTGCGCTGGATTCAGCGCTGTACGGAAAACTATGGCGGATTTTCAAATCCAGGGCTTTCTACATAGCAAGTGGGGTCCCGCGTTACGTAAAATATAACGGATGATTAAATCAGTGTCTACAAGCACAGTGGTTGATCCGCGTTACGTTAAAATACGCGGGTATTAAAAATCCAGGTTCTACAAACAGGTGTGATCAGCGTTACGCTAAAATGATGGCGCCGGTATTAAATCAGGTTCTACATAGCAGTGGTTGATCCTCGCGTTGAGTCTAAACCGTAAGATATCGGCGCGTATTAAATCCAGGAGTTTCTACAAGCCAGTGGTGATCCGCGTTACGTAAATATTCATTGGCTGCTCTATTATCCGGCTCTGCGGGGGTCGACGAGGGGGCTGTGGAGGGGGGGGGGGGGGGTGGGGCGGCGGTGGGCCGTATTAAATCAGGTTACTGAGCCAGTGCGTGAGATCTGGCTCTCCGTCGTAAACATTCTAATCACACCACAAAACATCTGTCTTATCAGGTCAGGAACTAAACCCGTTGATCACGAGTTTAACTGTCAACCCGCAAAGCGTAATAAAGCGGTCGGTCGTCAGAGATCGAAGTTTCTCTATGTGCGTTTGACAGCGTTAATGAAACACAACGTCCACTAATCAGCGGATGACACATCATCTCCGCAGCCCTTATAAGAGTAGAGGGTTTAATTTCTCATTGAAACATGTTAGAAGATTATTCTGATAGGGGAATTATATATGCGCAACGTATCTTTGCGCGTAAGAGTGAGGGTTTAATTACTCATTGAAACATGTTAGAAGATTATTCTGATAGGGGAATTATATATGCGCAACGTATCTTTGCGCGTAAGAGTGAGGGTTTAATTACTCATTGAAACATGTTAGAAGATTATTCTGATAGGGGAATTATATATGCGCAACGTATCTTTGCTTGTAAGAGTGAGGGTTTAATTACTCATTGAAACATGTTAGAAGATTATTCCGATGGGGGAATTTTATATGCGAAACACACCATTAACGGCTGTCACGGGCGGTAATCGTCACTCGTTGCGGATTTGCTTCGCAGTTATTGCTGTAGTCACTCACAGTGTATAGTTGGTCGCGGTAAACGCGGCTAGACTTTCTAGTGACGTGCTTTAGGGTATTTGTCCGTATTTTACGCGCGTTAGCAGCTAAACTTTGGCGCGCAAATAGAAACGCGAAAAATGCTCGAGACAAAGATGGCTGACGAAGCGTGGCTTCCTTGTATTTCCTGTAAATGACGTCACAGTGAGCTCTGTAATATCGCGTGGAGTCGGGGAAATCCGCTTACCAATATATCTAATAGAATCGAATTTCCTTTCCGGCTCCCATGCAGGGCACGATAGATGAACACTGATCAAGACTAAAAGAACACGATAGATCTGTGTTCAATTAATATCCATGCTAATAAAGTTTTTCTCAGTTAGATCCAAATTAAGATTTTCCTTAATTTTGATCTAACTGAGATAAACTTTATTAGCATGTGGACTCTAGAGATCCGATGAAATTATTCAATCAACAATTAATATCCGTTTATTTATTACATGGAGAGACGCGCGTTCTTTTTCAGCCGTACGAGTTCGTCTATAGAATCGAGCACTTGGACTTTGGGACGAACTATACCATCGTAATGCACTCGACCTACCACTCACAACACGAGAGCAGAGAGGCAACGATGTGGCTACTAACGACCCCGTGTCTAGAAGCTACTAACTACGATTACAAGGCCTGTGGTACGTTACATTCCCACGAGCTTCTTTCTCCCTAACAGCAGGAGTTGGTATATAATAGACACATCATAGAAATAATAGCAGAACTACGCACAAAATCGGCATATAACCTTAAATTGACTACGTCACGAAATTTCTATGGTGTATATTTGCCATATATTTAGTTGCCATTTTTTTACATTAAAAGTTAGAACTAACGGGAC